AAAATCCGATCTTCTCTTAATCTTGATTAATTTCATTAATTTTTCGTATTAAGGTAGGTCGGATTTTGAGAATGATTTAGCTGGAAAATCGGATTTTAGGAATCCGATATCGGTATTTTGCTCTTCCCCAAAATTCGACTTATATTTATCTCTACTCCTTTTTTTGAATCATTTTTTAACTCAAAAACTCCAATATCACTATATGGAATGAGAAAGTATGGGTGTAACTTTTGGGCCATGCCGCCATGGTTTGTTTCAATGATCATGCTGTAGCTTCAAGTAAGCGATTGTTGCTTATACTGGAACGAGCAATAATATTATTCATTGAAGCCGAAGTAAAAACTCCCTCACGCCCCATGTAATCCCGTATCATAAAATTATGTCCTTAGTTGTTCCATTTATATTAGATTTCTTTGTATAATCACTCAAAATAATTTATAACGTTGTGTAATGAAATAAACCTCTATCCATGTTAGGCTATTTATTTTCTCTAAATAAAAAAACTGCAATGTTGGTCACCTCACACTCACGCACGAGCCGTACCTCGTGCGGCCTCACCAGCTAGTACTATAGGTACATTTACTAAATACTTGTGATTTTTCTGCCGACATAGTAACAATTAATAATTAATAATATAAAACAGAGAAAACAAACGATAAGCTAATTATAGACCGAACGTAAACTTTTTCATATTTGTTTGTAAAATATTAAAGAAACAACATGTAGATGATTTCGAAGAAAAACTTAAATATTATTTTGACTCCCTTTTCTATTTCTGTTTTCTTAAGTTTTTAATTTTTTGAACGAATGTAACTTGTTCATTCAACATTTATTTCTTAAAATTTGTTCTCTCGGTTTATCTCCATACTTTTATCAACCAACTTTTTTATATGCCGCATTATATTCATATAAAATTAAAAACTTATATGAATAATAATATATTTTCTTACCTTGAAATTTAAGAAAAACATATTATTATTATTATTGTTGTTGTTCTTATTATTATTTGGATATTGGCCATTTTATTATTCTGCCTCTCCCAATAATTCTTAGTTTTTAATCACTAAAGCCGTTTCGTTCCCAATATTGCCGTCTAAATATGGACTGGATTTTTTGTGACATATTCGTTTCACACTCTCACTTATATGTTCTCATAATAATTACTCTTGAAAGCTCACATAGGCCCATATGTGGTTTCACCTCAAAACTAATTGACAATGAGGGGAGTAACAGTGTAGCACATGAGGTATATATGTTGATCAAGTTGGCTTCCCAACTCCAATGTGGGACAAGTGTCTTTCACTTGTTTTCAAGTTCAAAGGGATGTTAACACCGCCCTCTCAAGTCCAAAGGGGTTTGACAAGACCGCTTTGAACAATCAAAACCGAATATGGGTAATATATCAAAGCCCAATAAAGATAAATCAAAATCCTCGGTTATACTGTCGGGTCAGTCAAAGCCCAGTACAGGTAAAACCCGATACGGGTAAATCAAAGTTCTCTAATATACTGACGGGTTAGTCAAATCCAATACGGGTATAAGTCAAACTGAAAAAACAGCCAGATCGGTCAAAGTCCACTCACAAAGTCCGCAGATAAAACCTGCTCTGATACCATCTTGAAGGTCCGTATAGGCCCACATGTGGTTTCAACTCAAAGCTAATTGGCAATGAGGATAGTAACACGTGGGGTATATATGTTAATCAAATTAGTTTTCCAACTCCAATGTAGGACAAGTCTCTTTCACTTGTTTTCAAGTTCAAACGGGATGTTAACAATTACTTTCACTAAATTGTGTAGTCTATGCTAATTTATGTACAATAAGATCATACTTTTATCGTGAATAATTTTTATTTTGAAAATTTAAATGTTGTACTAATATTATGGACTAGATCAAAATGAAACTGTTAAACTCTAGTGCTTTTTCTATTAGTGAAATTGCTGAAAATATATATATTAAATGACATAATTTATCTTGGGTTGTAACAGAAATAGTTTCTTCGTATAAGTACGGGAATACGACTGCATACAACTGATCTTCCAGTTCCCAACTTGATTGGGAATATATTGGGTACCTTAATTGTTGATTATTGATTGTATCCATATTAATTATGTTTCAATATTATTTAATAGATTTTATTGGACTTTTACACAATCAAAATTTAAATAAATAGAACTTAACAAGAAAGCAGTTGGTTGTGAAATTAGGGACTGCAGCTTGTATTAATTAAGTGGAATAGCTTCTCAGTTGAATTTGGTGCAACTTTCTTTTATAATGACTATAAAGACTAATCAAAGTCATCAATTGCTTGAAACGATATTTATTATTTAAGGTTGTGTAATCCAGCTAAAATTTCTTAACACGACGTGAATAACATGACAGCAAACCCGCCAAAGTCAAGTCACAAGTCGTACGTAGTATATGATATCCTTAATTTCCTTGGTGAAGTAAAGTCAACAACATAGTTTAACTTAACAACCCTATTGTTGTCATATTTGTTAACATAATAAGCATTTGTTTCTGTTTTAAAAATCTTATCTTAATTTGATTGACAAAGTTTCTTTCTGGATTGACCAAATTAACAACCCTATAGTCGGCACACCGTATTCTCTTTATATATATATATATATATATATATATATATAACATTCCTTCAAATAGTTGTTTTTTTTAAAATTTTTTTAAAAATTATGAAGAGCCATCTATATACTTTATTTTTTTATCCTCTAAACAGACACTTCGCAGATCATGTTTTTGTTTAATTTTTTGTTTAAAATCTCATTCAAGTCTCATTTTATTTTAGAAATATAATTGATTTTGTTAAATTAAAATAATTAACAAAGTGTTGTACCAAAGTCGGACCAACGGATTACGTATGTTCCACTTTATAGGACTCGTAACAACCATTGCGATTTTGAGTACAGAAGATAAGATTGCTATGTTGAATATAGCAACAAAACGAAATACGGACATTTTGATGACTTTGTTTAATTTGTCACCAACTTGAATTTCACCGTGCTTCAGATTCTTCCTTCTGACTATTCATATTTTGATCGGTACACTTTTTTGCTTTACATTTCTACACATAAAAAGCAAAAACACCAAACGAGTTTGCAATTAGTTTTATCCTTGAAAGAACAAAACTGGAATAAAAGCACGACGATGTCCATAACGAGATAACGTGCATGTTGGACATTTCTTTGCTTTTTAAGGACGTTTCTTAGTCACTTTTGTTAAAATTACTAGCAGAACAAATTTTAGCAGCGAGTAGATTGTCATTATAAATTTAGACCAATTTTTTTAAAAAATTTAGTATATTTTATTAGCGAAAAAGAGAAATTGATGACTAAATTTAAATATTCCAGATGTGTACCCAATAAAATACTATTTTTTTAGAAAAAAAAGAAGTCCTTATTTTCTTGGTAGAATGAAAATCTGCAAATAAATTTATTCAATAAGAAGGAAAGTTTTGGTTCAGAAAATGAGGATTAATACATGGAGGGCCAGGGATGCTACATGATCATGAGTTTCAGACAAACCAAAAAGGTTTCAAGCAATTTCTTCGTACTTTGAAATGTATGCAATTGTATACATGAAATATTACGTTTTCCATCTTTAATATAAAAGCACTATCGTAAAAAATAATTTACCTTGTCATATTGTATACCAGTTTAAGAAAATTGATTATTTTTATGAGACGACGACTAATAATGTATCATGTTGGCTGTGCAAACTCCATGAATTATGTAATTAAGTGTTGAATATTCCGAATTTTAGACTCCAACCATACAGAAAAAGACTTTCCTATATGTGACATATGCCACAAACCAAAAATAGCCTAGCATTTTTCTCTGACTCTATTCATAAGTTGAAAAAAGAAAAAATTGGCTAATTTCCACTGGAATAGTGATAGAGCTAGACATTTTAAAGTCTTCAACAATTGAAATAAAGTACTTTAAACTCTTATATTGTAAGGAAGACTTGTTAATCATGTGGTTATGTATTTTTACGACCTCGATCGTCGTTGGTTTTTTAAAACTATTTTCCAAATAATTATGCAAAGAAGTCACAAGACAACGCAAAAGTAACAACACAGCTATCGCTTATTTCAAATCATTTATAGTCGTCCTTCTCTCTTAAAATTTCTAGTGAGAGAATATCCTGTTTTCTCTCCTAAAAGAGGAAAACACCTTGACGACAAAATCACTAATATTCATTTAACTATTCCACTTCCACTCCATAATCCTTTTTATGTTCCCATTAATTCCTTTTTTTTTTTCTATCAAAACCACCTTTGATCTAGTACTTGGTTTTGCTAAATCGACTATCCAGTTTTTGTTTGCCCTTGCCCTTCACCATTTTAAAATTTTGCCTCTAAGCAAGATCAGAGATTGTTGCCATTTGGAGGCCATGCAAATTAGTTGTCACTTCAACTATTTAATTTACTCATAAAATGTGTTTCGCACTAATCCCTTCTGCTTCCGGTTTTTCTCTTTACAAGTAATTGTAGTTATCAAAGTTGCTTCCTTTCTTTCTTGAGCCTCCCAAATCTTTCCACTTTCCAGCAAAATTATAGTTCCTAGACTCCAGTCATAAAGGCTTCTGCCTTTTGGTTTATTCCTTTCGTTTTCAAACTACTTACCAAAAATCCAAAATCTATTCCGTTTCCTTGACTGTAGTGGTTTTGTCTTTATTTCATTAATTTGTTTCCAAACATTCTCTGCTCACTGTGATTCCTTTGGTGTCTTTCCTATGTCTCCAGTTAGATCTGATTCCCATTTGTTTTTTTAAAAAAATTCTTTATTCGTTCCTTCTGTTTTTCCCACTTGTGGGCTTGGATCTCATCTCTCACACGGAATTATTGACATGCAATGGATGAGAACTTGGTAACGGCAATGTCTCTACAAGGTTCCAACTTTTCAGAAGAAGCGCATGATCTTCGGTCTGTTATTGACATCGATCCACATTTAATACCCCGTCCTTTTCTTCGATCTGTCAACATGCAGCTAACGGATTATCATATTCAACTGTCCCGGGATAATCTGAAGTTATCTCTCTTGGGTTACTTGATTGATGATTTTGACGTGGATGACAAGATCATGCGACAGTATATAGTTGCAAATTGGCCAGTCACTGTGAGAGTACCTCATTATGATAGAAATTTCTTTGTCCTTAAGTTTATGAACAGATATGAGATGATGGCTATTTTGGATAATGGCTCTTATGTTGTTAACGGTAGTTTACTAATTCTTCGCCGATGTAATGACCATGAAGATCTAGCCCTTGATAGCATCAAGATCGAGAAATTGAGCATCTGGGTTCGCATGCATGGAGTGCCAATTACCTCCATGAACTATAGAGCTCTTGAAGATCTAGCTAGTCGTATTGGTGAAGTGGCATGTATTAAGCAGGATTGTGTCTTCCTGCGCAAGATCACTTACATTCGAGCAAAGGCGTGGATTAAACCAGGTGACCCTCTGGTTCCTTATTTTCATTTTACTAAGAGAAACGGTAAAGTGGCAAAGATTCACTGCAAGTATGAACATATGCACTAGTACTGTCAACGTTGTGGACGCCTGGGCCACCCTTTACAAAGATGCTATCTGATGGAGGATGATGCACTCACCATCTTTCTGAACAATTTTTTTTTTGCTGCAAAGGCTGCTAAATTTGACTCCCCCCTCCTGATTGATGTTAATAAACCTTTGTACACTGGTTCTATTAGAGCGCATGCACATAAGAAGAAGCGGTGGACTTGTCTCCCTGATTACAAAGTGGAACAGATGCTGGATTTCTATGATTCTGTACCTGATGAATATGTTCAGGATGGTTTTACAATCTCTGCTAGAGGAAGGTGCTCCACTGCTGTGGTATCCTTGGTCTCCACATAATTCTGATGGTGGAAACACTGATCATGACACTGATGTTGATCATAACTCTGACAATGATGATGATGACCAGGATGATTCGGATCCTGATGATAGTAATGGCGACGATAATGGCACCTCTGATGGGGGGGGGGGGTTACATGGACGATGATCATTTTATGGCTGACTCCAATGCAGATAATTTTTATGATGATGATGGTCCTCCAATTCCTCTAGATGGTAGAGTCAACCTTTATGTGGATGCTGTGGTTGACTATTCCAGGATGGCAGCCCCTGCTGCAGGAGAGGACTCTGATTCCTTGCACTCTGTTGGTCAAGGTGACATTTTTCATTCCTTTTCCTCTTACTCCTCTGAATTTTACCAGAATTCTAAACATTCCTTCCCTGATGATGCTAGTGAATTTTATATGCCTTCCTCTTTTTATGAAATTCTGGATGTGCCTCCCTTTGAGGAAATGTTAGCTGATCAGTCTTATGTTCTGGATCTTTTTATCCCCAATGGTCCTGATTATCCTATCATGACATTTCTCCAACTTCTGCTTTTGTTGGTTTTCAATCAAGTGTTAACTCTAGTGATAGTGAAAATGTGAGTTCTGGTTTCATTGCTAGTGTAAGGAATAGATTTAGGGCCTTTGTTACTGCTTCCCCAGACTCTTCAGGAGAAGAAGGTCCTCTGTGAAGGAGTTCTATTCCTGTTGCTACTTTGGGATGCCGTCCCTTCAAGAGACAAGGTTCTTGCCGAAGCCTATCCTCCATTTCAGCTCCTCTTCCTCCACAAGATGACTACCCACAAACAAATAGTGATGCTGATGACTTCTACATGAGGGCAAGAAGAGCAGTTTCTAAATCACACATGTCGGATCCCCCTCAGAAGCCATTGGATAATCCGGGTGCTCATTACGCTTCCACTGCTATTCTTGCCAACTATAACTGGTCTTCTAGAGGTGGTATTTCTAATGGGTGGAGAATGAAGGTGGATGATGCTGAATTTGATGAAGTGGAAGACTCTGAAACTTCAGAAGCTTTAACTGACAGTAGAAAGAGAGGTTCTGATGATTCACTGGCCAGTTTAGAGAGGCCTGGGAAGAAGAGGTCTAGCTGTGCGGTGGATGAGGAAGTGAAGAATCTGTTCCAGGCTCTGGAAATGGCGTGGGAAACTAGTGAACCAGGAGCAAGTGCAAGTGCTCAGCTGAACGATTTTGCAGTGGTTGAACCAGATCAACTGCCTCTGTTTCCATGAGTATAATCAGCTGGAATTGTAGAGGCGTGAATAATGCCTCATCTAAAAGTGTTTTAGCAAGGTTAGCTAAGAACTATAAAGCTAGTATTCTATTTATTATGGAGACCAAAGCTACGAACTCTACTATTTCAGTTTGGCTCCAGTCATCTGTTTTCCAAAATTATTGTGTAGTAGACCCTGTGGGCAGTAGTGGGGGCCTGGGTCTCTTTTGGTTAGATAGTGTTAAAGTTTTAGTAGTCTTCCACGATGCTAATGTGGTAATTACCCAAATCACAGAGTCAACTGGATTAATTTGGGTGGCCATTTTTGCGTATAGTCCTCCTGCTGTGCAGGAAAGGGTCTCCTTTTGGTCTAGATTAAATGGAATCATCCAAGGTTATCATTATCCTAGTATTATATTAGGAGATTTCAATCAGGTCATTGAGAAGGAGGATAAACATGGTGGTCGACTAGTTCGACTCCAAGATACCAGGGCCATTCACCAATTCCTTTCAGCCAATGCTTTGGAGGACCTTAAACACTCGGGTTGTTGGTATATTTGGACCAACAAAAGACAAGATTCAGAAGCCATCTTTGAAAGGTTAGATAGAGCCTTTGTTAACAAGATTTGGCTTACAAACTTTAGGAATGCAATCATTAGAAACCTTCCCATCATGACACCAGATCATGGACCTATATTGGTGGATCTTAAACAGAAATATAGACCAAAACGAAAACCGAAATTTGAACTATTTTGGTCTAGCTGCCCTACCTCTAAACCCTTGGTCACACGATCTTGGTCACCACATTCCCTTCACATCCCTGATCCACAGGAAAATCTTTCCTTTAAACTTCATCACACTCTTTCTCAGCTTCATCGATGGAGCAAAACCAAATTTGGCCATCTAGACTCTTTAGTTCATAAGTTAACTGAAAAGTTAACCCAAGCACAGGTTCACTGTGAGGCTGACAAGAGAAATCTACAATTGATTAGTGCCTTCAAAACTCACCGTTTTGAAATAGAAGAAGCCTTATTACTTCAACAGCAATACTGACATCAGAGGCTAAGATTCATTGGTCACAGTTGGGGGATAAGAATACTAAGTTCTTTCATAATTGGGCTGCAAGGAGGAAAGGCAACAAATGGATCAATGAATTGTGTGATGACCAAGGAGTCTGGTTTCAAGATTCTGCAAAAATTGTTGTCCTTCTACAAACACATTTCTCTACCATCTACATGTCACCACCATCAGCCTCTCAGATGACTTTGGATTCTTGCTTTTATACCTCTCTCATAAGCAATATGGAGGAGACTCCTACCTCAGATCAGATTCACCTGCTGGATGCTCCAGTTACACAAGAGGAAGTATGGAAGGCTATTCACCAGATGTCACCTTGGAAATCACCTGGCCCTGATGGTATGCCAGCTGGTTTCTACCAGCATTATAAAGAAATCATTGGCCAGGAGGTGGAGGCTTCCATCTTAGCAGCTTGCAATACAAAGAAGGGAAATCAGACAAATCTAGCTTTGATCCCTAATACTGCTTCTCCGACGACACCGAATGATTTTCGTTCCATTAGTTTATGCAATGTTAAGTACAAAATCATTACTAAAATGATTACCAACCGCCTGAAATAGGTAATGAATTCCCTCATTGATGATCATCAGAATGGTTGTCCCAGGAAGGAATATTAGTGAGAATATCCTTATAGCTCAGAAGTCCTTGAAACGATCCGTCATAAAAAAGGAGATTTGGGTTTAGCAGCTATCGAACATGATATGAGTAAAGCGTATAATCATGTTGCTTGGCCTTTTCTTCAAACTGTTCTCACAAAAGCTGGCATTCCTCCTCGACTGCTCACTCTGATCATGCATTGTGTCACTTTTGTGTCTTACTCCATCCTCTTCAATGGTAAAAGTCTGCCACCTTTTCTCCCCAATAAAGGCTTGAGACAAGGTTGTCCTTTATCACCTTACCTATCTATTCACTTTACCTATTTATTCTTTGTCAACAAGTTCTTTCCTCAGCTATTCAAACATAAATTCAAACGTTTCCTGGATTGGGAGTTAAAGTCAGCTGTCATGCTCCAAGACTAAGCCATCTCATGTATGCTGATGATAGTCATTTTTTCATTGAGTGTACCCCTACGGCAATTCACGCTCTAGCTGGTTTGTTGGAGAATTATACAAATTACTCAGGTCAGAAGATAAATCTACAAAAATCTTCAATCTTGACAAGTGATAATACAACTCCAGCAATGCAAGATCTGAGCCGCTCCACACTTAATATACAAGGGGTTCCTTCCACAGTAAATACCTTGATATGTCTTTGGATTTCTCTCAAAATAAGACGATAATCTTCCAAGAATTTACCACCCGAATCAGCAACAAATTTGCATCTTGGAAAACCAGACTCCTCTCACTTTCAGGTCGTGTTACTCTTACTAAATCTACACTTTCCTCAATGTTGGTCTATCCTATTAGTGTTTTTAGACTTCCACAGCATACACTGGACAAAGCTGACAAAATTATTGTAAATTTTATCTGAAAGGGGGATACTCAAGAGCAAAAGATTCACTGGCGTGTTTGGAAGAAAATCACGAAATCACAATTCCATGGTGGCTTGGGTTTAAAGGCCACTAAGGAATTTAATCAAGAATTGCTAGCAAAACATGCATGGAAGATGACAATGGAACCACAATCACTTCTGGCCAGATTCTTTACTGCTAAGTACTGTCTGGGGGATACTTTTCCTCCTTTAGACATACCAAAGAAACTCTCTTGGGGATTCAGAAGCATTTTATGGGGTGCAAAGCTACTGCAAGGGAATTTGAAATGGAAAATTATTTCTGGCAAGGATACTCTTCTCTCTTCCAACTGGATCCCAGGAACTCCCAATCCGATTAGTACTAAATCTGTTTTGACAACTGCAAATCTTAGAGTAAATCACTTCATCACTCCTACGGGCCAACAGAGACTTCAGGCTCTGTAAAATTTCTTCCCGGACCATGTTATTTCTATCATTAATGGCATTTTCATTGATCCGGCAAGACATGACCAATAGGACCGTTTGGAATGGATCCACACTAATCATGGCCAATATACTGTCAAAACTGGTTATCATGTTGCAATCAATTCTACAATCCCATAGCATATTACTGATCCAGCCATTTTGCAGATGGAAAAGATGGCATGGAAAAAGCTGTGGAATTCTAGAGTACAGCCAAAATAGAAGTTCTTCTTTTGGAGGCCCTTGCTGAATGCTCTAGCCGCTCGTACAGAGCTTAACAAAAGAGGAGTTCCAGTTATCACAATTTGCCCGAGATGTTTTCGTGAGGATGAGGACAGTACACATTTATTCCTCAAGTGTGAGATGTCACAGGTAATATGGGCTCTTGCTTTTCCTAAATTCAGCTCCATATTCAATTCTTGCTACCAATCTTTGTTCCAATGGTTTATTACCTAGTGTAGAACACAAGCATCAAAGTGGGATGTTGATTTACTGTTTCTCGTCATGTGGCGCATTTGGTTGAATAAAAATGATAAAGTCTGGAGGAATCAGGTTCAAGATCCGACAATATCATAGAATTTAATCTAGCTAGAGGTTTGGTCGCTACTCAATATTCAACATAGGATTGCTCTCTCATCTTCAAATGGCTCACAACAGAACAACCAGGGCCAACAAACTCGGATGGCCAATACTACATTGGTCATCTTTGACGGTTCCTTTAGTCACCAAACTCGTAAAGCGGCTGGGGCGTGATAAATCATTTCTCCACATGGTATGGTGATGCAAATTTCAACTCAGAGCATTAATTCTCTTACACTGCTGCAAACCAAAGCTACTACATGTTTATTAGCTTTGCAGGAAACGACAAATCTTGGCCATACTCGGATTCAGGTATTTACAGATTGTGAAGTTCTAGCACGGGGTTTACAATCTCCTTCGATGCCTTCAGATTCCCAAGAAGTCCTTTCCCTTTTAAATACTTTAATTTCGTCATTTACTTTTTGTACCCTGACTAAAGTGAGTAGACAGGATGTAGTAGAAATGCATACTTTAACTTATAATCGTATGCGATGTAATAGCTTAGTACCTTTATCAAAATAAAGCAAGTACTTTCTTCAAAAAAAAAAAACAAAAAAACAAAACAAAACAACAGCACAACTATCTCCTCGAGCAAATTAGTTTTGAGGTAGAGTTCCCAAGTTCTTGATTCAGGTGAAATATATTTATTTTCTTTTTAGTTTATCGAAAGTATGTACGTTTGATTTTTGTTAGACTAATTAAGATAGTAGTTAGATCAGTTACACACCAAACACATCAATTGACAAGTTCAAAATAAACCCTAGGCCTATTGGACCTAAGATTAGGTTACTTAGAGATTAAGTCACCGCCTAAACCTATTTTGCAAGTGTTTCAGGAAACCGGTAACACCACCTCTATATAAAGAGGTGGTGCCTCTCTCATAAGACACATCTCCTACCTATCTTCTACACCTTCTACACACGATACACATCTCTCTCTCTCTCTCTCTATTATCTTTATTCTATTTTTGACTTAAGTATCGGAGACTCTACCCTCAGGAGACACCCGAGGCTCTGTCTTGCAGGTTTTAGGCCGTGCGCCGCCTCCTAGATCTTCATCGCCACCTGTCCTAAAGAACCATGTAGATCCATGCTTCATTAAGTGGCACGCCCAGTGGGACCGATTTGTTTGGTCTTCACAACCAAATAAATTTCTTAAAAAGAAGCCGAAATTTGTTGGTTCTTCATGGTGATAATTGGGTTGATATGATCTGCAAATCCATGTGCGCAAAAGTCAAAATCAAGAATTTGGAAATCATACAAATTGACAGTCGTCGACTTCCGCGTCAACGCTCTTCCATCAACGATCAAGTCGACAACAATTCTGCAGACTTCCATGTCACTGCCTTCTAGCCGACGAGAATGCCGACGGTGAGAATTTATGCACCTCTGAGCATACCCTCAAAATCATCATCTAGAAGATTCATCACTTATTGAATTTTTTATTATTAATATTTATAATTTTAGGTATAATATTTATGCCCTAATAGTTTTATAATTTTGTAGATTAATTTTCTAAGCTCGAAGTAAGGGGCAATCTCTGAAATTGAAGTTTCAAGAGATACATCTCCTCGAAGGGGCAAGCATCCCTCGAGCACCATACTACTACTCGAAATTTCGAGAAGTAGTATAGCGGCTTTCATCTACTCAACTACTACCTTCTCGGTATCGAGGTAACACCTTCTCGAATAATCAATTTATCTCGAGACTGAGGTATTTCTCAAACCTTTTCATTATATACTTCTTGAATCTAATTCATATACTACTAATATCATTACTCTCCTCACAAACATATAATTATATTGTATTGCCTTTTTGAGTGAAATTGTGTATCAACAAAAGACCTGCTAGACGGGCACCGGGTTTAAATAAGACCTGCTCGACGGACACAACCCACAAATACTTGCTAGATGGGTAACAGCCAAATAAGACCTATTAGATGGGCACAGCCACAAGACCTGCACGACAGGCACTATAGGCTTCTTACCTTCAAATAAGAGAATACATGCTTCTCCCATTCAAATAAGAGAATATAGGCTTCTCACCTTTAAATAAGAGAATCTAGGCGCCATCCTCCTAATTTGGCATACACAGGCTTCCCGCTATCAATCAGGAACTCACTAACACAAAGACCCTCTCGAGACATTCTATTCTCTTTATCTTTCTATAGGTGACACCCGGGAACTGGGACAACACTACGAGAAGACATCAATACTCGTAGCAACCCATATCTTTCTCATCAAGTCTCAAAAATTATGCCTTGCTAGGGGCATTTGACAAGTCCAAAATAAACCCTAGGCCTATTGGGCCTAGTATTAGGTTACTTGGAGATTATATCACCGCCTAAACCTATTCCGCCAGGGTTTCAGAAAACAGGTGACACCACCTCTATATAAAGAGGTGGTGCCTCTCCCATAAGACACATATTCTACCTATCTTCTACACCTTCTACACACGATACACATCTCTCTCTATTATCTCTATTCTATTCTTGACTTAAGTATCGGAAAGTCTACCCTCGGGAGACACTCGAGACTCTGTCTCGCAAGTTTTAGGTCATCCGTCACCTCCTAGATCATCATTGGCACTCGTCCTAAGACACCGTGCAGATCCATGCTTCATCATCGATCATGAGTTGTTGGGATTACCTAGGCAATCCAAGAAATCAAAACTATTACGTCTGCCAATGTCAATTTCTATCTAATTTTGACGTAAGCTTTTAACGAATTGCGCTAACGTCATTTCATTAATAAATCACCAGTATTCATCTCCAGATGATACTTTTCATATGAGATATAGAAACTAATGACTTTGAGGTCTTCCTTTTCATTTGATTTTTCTTAATTAGTATGTTTTTTCGGAGTAATGGTAGATTATTATCGACGGAAAGCACGAAAATAAGTTTACCAATTTGAATTAGCAATAGCTATTATATTCTCCCCCAAAAGAAATGCTATATGTCCCTACCGTTTGATTAAGAACCATGATTCCTGGTCATGATGTTGTGGTGGCTTATGCCAACAACGTGACATTATGATAAATTTTTTATTTGATCTAATAAACTAAGAACAATTTAGTTTCTCTAACAAAATTTGAACCCTTTTTTTATTATTATTACAAAATTTGAACCCTGATAACAATAATCCACCCGATAACTGTCCCTTCACATATATATGAATTGTTACATGGATTTCAATTTAGGCGGCCCTAGATGTTGCATGATCATAAAATTTAATTAGTTTAGAATGTAAACAACTAATTCATCCGTCCATCTTTAATTTTCTCATCTCGTAATGATAGAGCGGTTTCCGTACTTATGATTTAAATTTTAAGACTTTCTAGTTGCGGAAAAGATTAGAGTTGAATGTATTATTCCATACTTCTCATAATCGCGATGGTTCATATTTGGAACAAAAATATTCAATTTTGATGTAATTATTATTATGAAACAAAGGGAGAATAAAGTGCGCAAATAGTTTGTAGACAGGTATTTTAATGTTTTCAGGCATGGCATCTTATGATACCTACCCGTGTACGTATTAGCTCCAAAGTATTCAAAACTCCATTAATTTAATTTGAAACTGTGAAATATTCCCAACTTTAGACTCCAAGTGGAGAAGCTTTCTTTACACAGTATATAGTAGTGATTTATTCTTTTCTTATATTCCCTTCGTCCCATAATTATTGTCCATTTTGAGCTGTGAAATATTCCCAACTTTAGACTCCAAGTGGAGAAGCTTTCTTTACACAGTATATAGTAGTGATTTATTCTTTTCTTATATTCCCTTCGTCCCATAATTATTGTCCATTTTGAGCTTTCATTTTTAGTTCAAATTGTACTAAAAGTAAAATCTCAAACAAGATAATAATTTTGGGACAAAGGGAGTATATGACTACTCATAATGAATGACAATTTTTCAGTTGTGTAGCAAAAAAAGTGCAACAAACTCACAAGTAGAATACTACTTTGTTATTCCAATTCTCGAAATAATTGTCACTATTTTGTATTATCTCTACTCGAGAGAAACATTCCACAGTATAATTCGTAAATTGTATTAAAAATGTAGATTATTTTTATGAATGAGAAAAGGCTGCTTGCGCTTAATTTCCAAGAAATTACAGTCTAACAACTTATGAAACACTCAGATGGTACGTGTTTTTTTTAATGATTGAATGATAATAATACTATAACAGTCAGTTATTACGTACACCACCCACGTAATCATCGATGACGCAGATGCATTATGTCATAATTTCGTAACGCAAGTGGAAAGCAAAACGGAAAAAACTTGATGCTCTATTGTCGCTTTTGGTGGTGGCTTAATTTCAAGATGAGATCAGTTTGATCAAAACATTTCTTCTTCTTTTTCTTTTTGGTATTTTATTTTTTGTTCGACTTTTTCTTGTTTTGTTAGACCTTTAATTCCTTTAATAGAATTTAGAATTTCGTCTCAGAAAACTAGCCTATAATTTTTTTCGATTTTTCTTGTTTTAACTAAAACAAATAAGAAAATACACTATTTTTCTGGGCCAAAATTCTTTGGACTAATTTCGATTCCAATTTCACATTTACAGGTACTGTCACTCTTACGCCGGCGAAACTTTTCATAACGCTGTGTTAATCACATTTTGTAACTATTCATCAAACGAATAACATTTGTACTTCTATGTACATGGGCGTCATTTACGTTATATTAAAATATCCTTTGAACTTGAAAAACAAGTGAAAGACACTTGTATCACATTGGAGTTGGGAAGACAACTTGATCAACATATATACCCATGTGCTACTCCCCTTATTGCAAATTGGCTTTGACATGAAACCACATATGGACTTATATGGGTCTTCAAGATGGTATCAGAACGGATTTTAATCCGTAGACTTGTGGGTGAACTTTGACTACCTCGGTAGTATATTCGATATCCGTAGACCCATATTGGGTTTTGATTGGCTCACCAGTATATTCGTGGACTGGCTCGGCAGTATATCTGTGAACCCGTACTGGGCTTTGATTGACTCAGCAGTATATTCATAGACTGGTTCAAAGGGGCTTTATATGGGCTTATATGGGCCTTCAAGATGTTATACCCTAATTTAAAAAACAAACGTTTTGTGACACAGTTAGAACTATGGTACAATATGTAAGGCTAATTGCCCGATTCACGATTAATTTGATGCACTTCATAAATCAAAACATATAGATACATATCAAGTATCATACAATACTAATACTTACTAATATTGCGTTATGCATGATTAAGTTGAATGTTTACTAAGTGGCGACATAATGCATGACAACTTTCCTTCTTTCTTACAATATCATAGGATGCAATATACATAAACGTTCTCACTCTCAATGTTCCAAAATTCCCAACAAAAAAAAAAAAAATCTAATAAACTAACTTCTATTCTTTTCATCCCGAAATTATTGTCCAGTTTTGAATTTTCATTTTTACAAATTAAATTAAAAGTGAAAATTCAAACTAGATAATACTTTTGAGACGGAAAAGTATTTACTCTGAAAAAATATGGTTCGTGATTGTTTCAGAGATAGCTGCCGCAACGGCTGCAGTAAAACTAGAATTTCTAGTCAAGGTAGATGCCATTTGTTCTACCATGAACTGTTGAATTCCACTGCTTCCTAATGCCTCCCATTTCTTGTCTCCAGTTTCGACTCTCTCTTTAGGACTTGGATATTCAGAACAATTCCAACCTGAGTGGGCGAAAATTGGAGATCCAACTTGAGCTGATGAGAAATACATTTCAGTTCTCAAAGGGTGTTGATGGTTGTGCTCCCCTTCGTAAGTAGCTATTAATGTAGATGGATCTCCCACTTTCTTTTGTACCTACATGAATCATAATATGGTTATTCCATAATTATAGTTTCTCACATTAGTGAAACGCAACATCATGTTAGCTACATCCTTTAAGTAGTTGGGCTTTAAAACAAGGATTAAGTCACAACCCTCTTGACAACAAACTAACCCAGCTCGAGTGGACTAATTGGACAAAATTTTATGCATTTTTACTCGGTTTAGAAGAGCTTCTTTTCAATGTGCAACCACTATCATTCTATATCGTGCGTCTTCCTCGTGAGTGATGGTTGCAATTGCGTGCAAATGTAATTAAGAAAACGAACTAAAAAGGTTGCGTTTTAGCTTGATAGTTCATGTTCAGAAGCTCAGCCGGATCCTGATATATTGTGTAGTGTAAGATTATTGGAAAACAGTTACTCTCTTTGTCTCAGAAAAAAAATTCACAACGAGTTGTGAAATTTGTACTAAAAACGATACAAATATCAAAACTCATTGTTCACTATTTTTTTCTGGACAAAGGTAGTAATTCAAGAACAGAGAATAAGGGCTTATTTATACCTTCTTCTTGACTGGGCAAGATGGGGCAAAAGAACATTTGAAGTAGGCTCTTGGTGAAGGATTATCTTTAGTAACCTTTTGTCCATACTTTCTCCATTGATATCCATCTTTAACAACCTACAATTTATCAATTACCAAAAACATAGGAGAAAAAGAGTTAAAAATAAAAACTATACTATAGCGTATATATTTTGCCTTTTTCTTCTTAATTTGTTGATGAATCTGTTTAGTTTGATCGAATATAGAGGAGAATGAAGTAAAAGAAGAAGAAGAATATAAAAGAAAACACTCACTAAGCTTGTATCCGATGGATCAACTCGTACATGAACTTTGGAGATATTTGTCCTGATTTCTCTTGGCAAGTTAGGTGATCGTTCATCTGAAATACTATCATAAGTTGTGTCATGATGATTTCCCAATGTGGTAATTGTAGAGTTATCCGTAGTCTCAAGTTTTCTTCGCTTTCTTGAGTTTTGTAGTTGATCGGAATCTTGTTGCACCAATTGAATCAGGCGACTTTGTAATGCGTTGTAACTTTCCAACGAGATGGTAAGCATTTCAATCAACTTCTCCTTCTCGAACCTCATCTGGTTTAATTTCTCCATCAAAGCCTGTCGCTGCGAATAATATAATACAAGGATACCATTTTAATTATTTTTTTTTACGCAACTTTATGTGATGGAACAGTAAAGATGGAATCATGCCTCACAAAATCTTGTTTTGCATAAAATATCCACATAAAAGGAGTGAATGAAGAGACTTATCAAATACTACAATGTATGTACTTCACCAGAAAAAATTAGAAAAGGAATAATTTTGGGTTGTATTTCGAGGTTTCTTTTTTGTGTACAAAAGGCATTATAGCTAGGCAACTTTATGCGAACATATAACATTATACATCAAGTTATGTGGTTTTATAACTATCTTAGTTTTAAATCCGGCCATTTCAGTCTCGGATTCAACCAATCATTTAACTTATCTCATTTACGGTTGAATTTGTGTATTTAGAGGTAATATTTGTATTCTATCATTTAATGGTGCAGAAGTAGAAAAGCCGAAGCAGATGAGAACTTTACATGGTAATACTTCTTAGTGTATTGTAAATTTGTAAAGGTCACAAAAAAAAAAAAAAAGAGTGAAATGCAACAAACGTTGGGTTTGCGGCCAGGATGCTGGTTAGCGTGGAAATATTGCCTTTGACTTCAGATATACAATACTTTTACTTGTATTTGGTCCTACAAAAATAACTTATCTTGTTGAAAAACAGTTTTTTCTTTAAAAAGAAAAAAACTTTGTTAAGCTAGTTCCTTCATATCAATGATATTGCCGAAACAATACTCCTTCCGTCCCGAAATTATTATCCAACTTGAATTTTCATTTTTATTACAAATTAAACTAAAAAATAAATTCTAAAACATACAATAATTGTAGAAAATAAGTAGTATTTTGGCAAAACAATGATGAAGAAAGGACAATATATATATTGATGGGATGGCCATTATGATATCTATTTTCGTAAGATGATTATCAACTTTGGATCTTTTTTTCTTTTTTAATTTTATTGCAATTAGTGTTAAAAATAAAAATTTAAATTGGATAATTATTTTAGGATGGAGGAAGTATAATTTTGACAAGATTGTAGAAGCTAACAACTGAAGGGACGATGGAGGCGAAGAATTAATGCAACATATATATGTAGCCGAAGACTCACCTCGTCTTTCTCCGATGACGATGATGACTTGGTTTTATTATCAACATGAATCTCTCCATCTTCAAACTCTTCTTTCTCCTGCTTCAAACATAATAATTGGGGACTAAAATGATAAGTCTCCCCTGGAACTGATTATTTGGACAAAACATTTGTAAAAATAAAGGAGGAATTTTACAAACCCGAGCATCCATAGATATGTTGAGATCGAAAGCAGGGTAATTTTGAGACAGGCTACTTGTGTCCATCTAAGGGAAGTTGCAATTGGATGTTTAATTTCTTTGGATTGGTTAAGTTGTTGAAACTCTTGAAGAATTCTTTTTCTAAGTGAAGTTAAGAAGCTGGCACATTTATAGAGCTAAAAAGGCTGTTGGGATAAGATTTTGATCGTGGGAATAGTCAAAAGTCTATGTTTAGTGGAAGGAAAGTCTCGGGAAATTCACAAGGCAATTTACTTGGCATTTTTTAATGATCTCACTAATCTTTTTGAAAGAACTTATCTTGACTCGAGAAGAGATTAATATGAACGTGATATATGCTTGTTCTAGTATTGTTCGTTAGGAAGTTGAAGAATATTGTAAATTTGATTATCCTCGAACGTTTGATCATTTTAGTACTCATATTTTGCTGGAATATTTTGTATTCCAGTACACGATTTGTTTACATTCAAATATGTATTTTTCTCTTTTCGGTTTACATTCAAATTAATATGTAACAGGTATGCGTAGTTGTTTCCACCTTAATTGTTTCCTTAGAGAAACATATTCATAATCTCCATTCTTCCAACCTCATCTCTCGCTCTACCTTTCCAACATATATATTTATGAGATGAAGCTATTCTTAGGAGCATTCTCTCGCAATTAAATTGTATGTGCTTAGCTTTCCTTCTCTTGTGACCTTACATATATTTCTTCCAGTGCCAACTAAAACCGATTTCTGCCTTGAAATAGCCATAATCATGATATTTTAATCTGCATTATCATCATATGATGAATTATACACCACGAAATAATTTATCGCACCAAGATAATCGGGAGAATAAATTAATCTAACATGTTTTATCCTCTTGTCACTAGTAAAAAACCATCGATGATAAGAATTAAAGTTTTAAAAAGAAGAGCTCCAACCCTCCGCCGGCCTCCCCAACCCCTTTTTTGCTACAGAACCCACAAACTTAATTTAATTTTTGACACACGCCACATCCAAACTTATTTGTATTCAATGTAGAGGTAGAAATTGACTTGTCCCTTTGGGGACATCCGATAAAATTGGAACGATACAGAGAAATTGACTTAATCAGACTTGCGACTTATTTTAAAAAATATTAAGAGCATGTTTAGTAAAAATTAATGCTTAATTTTAAATGTTTACTACTGAATTTGAAATGATGAATTAATTAAGTAGTTATAGAATTAGTAAAAACTTTTATTTTATTACTTATATGTTATACTATAGTTTCAGCACTATTTGATTTATTAAAAAGTTCAAGTATTGCTTATATATACTGAAATCGAAGAGTGATTAATAAAATAATTTTAAGTAATAAGTGACATTATCAAACCGCCCTAACTCGCCCTAACTCGATATCATTAAACTCAAGCTCTTGTCGCAATATTCTTGCCCTTTATACAAGGATATCCTGAGCACACGATTGGTGGTGGTGGAATAAAGGGGATGGAGTTTGTACGCCAATTGTGGAATTGCTTTAATTTAGGCAAATTTTTCTATAATGACTACGGAGACTAAAGAAAGACTCTTCTAGTCTAGTCACTATTGATATTCATCAATTACTCGAACCATATTTACTCTTTAGGGTTGGCTCTCTCGAGCTGATTTTGATTACGTGTTTAGGATGACATCATTACGGCGTCCTGTATTTTCTTGGTCAAGTCGATAAGAAGAAAGACTCTTCTAGTCTAGTCACTATTGATATTCATCAATTACTCGAACCATATTTACTCTTTAGGGTTGGCTCTCTCGAGCTGATTTTGATTACGTGTTTAGGATGACATCATTACGGCGTCCTGTATTTTCTTGGTCAAGTCGATAAGATACTTTTACTTAACAACCCTTTTGTTGTTGTCGCTTAAGGATTGGCAAATTGGGTTAGAATTTGTTGATTGTGTTTTTCTTGTTCCTTAATTCATACATTGCATCGTTATTTGATTGAAATGCTTCCTCAATCACTTTGTCTAAGTTGTAAAGGCATTAGATAAATACAAATAATTATAATTTGGGTTCAAATTCAAATATATATGATATTTAAATAATTTATTAGTTAAAAAAGTTTTGTCTACCAAAAAAAAGTTAAACCTACCAAACTCTCAAGTGAGAACGAATATGCCTATTTGATGTTGGCGGATTACCTAACTTGTGTACAAAAAGAAAAAAAAAAATGATTATGTGAGCTTATAAGGGTCTTTTTTATTTAACAACATTTCCAAAACACCTTTATATTTTTAACTTACACCTGTACTATTACCATCCCAGAAACGTTATTTATTTTTCATTCGTGTTAAAGGTTCGGGGGAAAAAAAATAACAGAAACCAATTAAGTAAAAATATTCAAACAGCTATCGTGAGCACCCATACATCATCCATTATGTCATATTAGCTAGGCGAAGAAATCCACTGCTTCATTTAGGATGGGAATTGGGATTTGATTTCTTAATTTCCGACATATATATACAACTAAGTAAATAAATAAAGGATTTCTAATAATTTTTTGAAAGACCTTTTAGAGAAGAGAAGACCGTAGAAAGAGTAGATTTCTACAAAGACTACTGCGTTTATTTCCATCCCAACTCTGGATTTAAAATATTCTTCACTGTACGGTGAAACTTCTATAAATTAATATCTCAAAAGTTTATTAATTTATTGAGTTATGAAATATTTTTCACTATTCAATGAAACTTTTATAAATTATTAATATGTTTGGGACCTCAAAAATTTATTAATTTATTATAGATTTATTAACTCATCAATATATGAATTAAGTTAAAGAGTTTTCTCTAATCCTATTTATCAGAAAAATATTAAAATTTTATTATTTTTATATCAAGAAAATTTGTTTGCAACTACATAAATCTATGCATGGGGTTCCACCTCAAAACCAATTAGGTATGAGGGGTGTCACCCATGAAGCTTATATATTGATACTCATAGTCTCCCAACACCGATGTGGGAGTGGAACTCTTTAATACTCTCCCGCAAGCTCAATGCATTTTTTGGGTTTGGCTTATCCTATTATTTTTTTCCTTTTTTTTTTATCTCAGGCACCGCCTCACGTCTCAATCCTATTTTTTTTTGGAATTTTTGGAGTCCGAATGTTGGAAGGCTGGCTCTGATACCATACAGAAGGCCATAGAGTTCTACCTCAAAACCAATTGGCTATGAGAGGAGTAGCCCATGAAGCTTATATATTGATACTCAGAATCTCCCAACACCGATGTGGGATTGGAACTAGCAACTCTATTTATATTATTATTAATTCTTCAAATGGAACAAAAAGATTATTGCAAACATGAAAAAATACTTAAGTTAAAATATAAGTTAATTTTCAAATCTAAATTTTTATTTTAGATGAAATTGTGGTGACCTTTATTTATGTAGGAAAATCTTGAAAAATTATTATATTATAAATTAATCGAGATTTTTTATTTTTTTGTACTGGTCACGAGTTGGGACTGAAGAAATATATTATTTAATGTAAGTTATTGATTAATAGAGGATTAACTTAGGAAGATTTTTTTGTATTTTTTTTCTTTTATTGATCTGTAACACATTTATTTTTCACATTTTTTAAGTTCCTTAAAGCGATTATCATTTTTGCTGTGCTAAAATTATTTTTAAAAACTGAAAAATTATATCTGAATGGAAAATGTACAAACAAACATCCGGAACACATCCCAGAGAAAGAAACATTGCGTAGGTGCTCCGTCACCTTTTCTACGCGAGCACTTTACGTAATCCTACTGGCGTCATATGCATTAAAAATCAGTAATATTGTTGATTAGGTGGATAACAATAGTACTTTATGACTATATGCTAGTATATAGTAGCAGTTGGCCCAAAAAGACTTGGGGTCTATTTTATGAACTTGAATTTTGAATACAAAACAGACGCAAAGCAAGAGAAATTACTGACCAATTGCCATTTTGGAGTCATTCGGTTTGTTTCATCTTTTCATGGGTTTTTCCTTTTAAGAAAAAAAAAATGCAAATGTTATTCACATTATTTTACATTCTCGAATATATATATATATGTGTGTGTACTGGAAATACATTTAAGTATTAAGATGGTTCCAAACAAAGCTATTGCATAATTATTATGTCCCCACTTTTTTGTAGAGCCAAAATCCGTTTTGTGAAAACACTCAAGAAGACAAGTAAAATATGAATTGTCTCGAGGACTTTATAAAGGACGACTGCAGATGATGTTAATGAGCGACATGGAAAAGTCGCACCTGGCCTTTTTTATCTCTTAACGTATTCAAAGAATTAAAAAGCCGTCGCCTGTCTTTTCATTTTCCTTTTATTTCACATCTCACCATTTATTACCATAAGTTTTATTTATTTTCATGTTTCAAATGAGAAAGCACAACTTAAAATATACTCCGTTTATGTTTTAAAAAATAGTCTAACAAATTTAAAAATTCAATGTAGACTATTACTGTATATACAAACTTCACCAAGTATTAAATGTGGAATTTTTCTAGATTTAGGACCATTTCCATGAATCTGTACGTGTGGAAGAACACTATTTTATGAGAAAACCGTAACCAGGAAATGACATTTTTACACTCACTGTGTACTTCTTCATGCACATTTACCATCGAGTTTTTTGTTTTATTAAGAAAAATCTGCAGCGAAGAAAATGACGGAAATTGCAACCTCAAATTTTTTTGAGTTGAAGTCACAATTAAAGGATATGCGTAGTCATTCCTTGGAGTCAAAGACGACTTTTGTGAGTTACAAATATTTTTTTAAGCGAATTCTTTTATTATTTTTAATAGTGATAAGGTTTGGTAATCAAATTAATACTCCCTCCGTCCCATAATTATTGTCCACTTTGTCCAAAAAATTTTGTCCCAAATTATTGTCTAATTTGACTTTTTATAGATCAAGTTATATATTTGTCGTTAGTAAAAAACATTATCCATAAAATCTTAGTGGTTAAACAATTACTTATGTAGAGGTATATCCGATTGTTTAAGGTAAAATATAGTTAAGTTTGACCAAAACTAAAATCTTTTTATTTTAGTAAAACTGGACAATAATTATGGGACGGAGGGAGGATTTACTTAGCAATCAAAATGATAATGGATTTCATTCATCAAGTCAACGAATGAAGGATTAACAATGTTTGCTTGAAAGAAAGGTATGCAATGATATTGTTTCCCAGGGACCCTACGGATTATTGCTCACACAATTATCGTCATGTCACCATTTACGTCATCATATTTAACC